ACGGTAAGGGTAAGATGGCGGAAAGCAGATGAGAGGCTCAATAGGTTCCAGAGGTCTATGTGTTTGGCAGGACAGGAACTATTAAAACTTGGTGATAAAGCCTGATGGGACTCAAGCTTAGGAGGAGAGGAGCTAATGTCATGATTGTTGCTTGGCACGAAAAAGATTTTCACATGACTCATAATTATGAGTCATAGGTATGTTATTGTTTTACGCATATCACTGATTTAGGTTATATGATTTAGTATTTTATGATTTGTTATATTTTGCACATGACTCAAATATGAGTCATGAGATGCGCGCCTGGTGAATATACCTTGTGAGTATGCCATGCAGGTATGCCTTGCGCATATGATTTATATTTTGCACATGACCTCATTATGATGTCATGGGTTTTATGCTTATGACTTAATTAAGTCATATGACTTGTTTATTGTATTATGATTGGTTCATGAGTTTTGCACATGCCCTTGCTATGAGATTATGGGTTTTGAGCATATGACCACTTTGGTCACATAGTTAGTTTGTTATGATTTGGTTTTGCGCATATGACCACTTTTGGTCACATGACTATGTGCGTGAAGAACACTATATAAGGAGGTTGAGGCGGCCAAGGAGGATAGGATCTTCACGCTTTGTTCTAAGTACTTTTCCTACTTATTATTTTAACGAATATAAAAACAGCTTTACGATCTTTATCTTTATTGCAATGTTATTGTTACGCTAAGGAAAGTTCTTCACGAAGAAGAGTTAGACAAAGCTTACTATAGGCATTCCCAATAGAAGACAAAGGTCTTGTACTATCAGTAAAGTAGGCCGAGGCCTAGTGCTATCGTAAGATTAAGGAAAGAAATAGAAGAAGAAGAAAAGTATCGTTTCTCGTCGCCAAGAATTAACTATCCAAGGAGGGATCGTTACAGGAACAAACTAGAGCAGCAGCAATCAAAAGGGGTATGGAAGGAAGCTGAGATACTCTCTGGACTCTGAGATCCAGAAACTGGAAAGTGTTATCCTGTGCCCAACGCCGCCACCAAAGTACTACCAGCCGAATCCCCTCTGCTAAGTCCTTCACTTGAGCAGCTACATGAAGGATTGGCTGAAGCAACCAATATTCCTTGTAAACCGCAGAAGTCTTTACCATGTAAATGGTAGCTGATCAATTGGAATCATCCTTTGCTTTGGTCCAAAATTGATACTACAGCTGTAAAGTGCCAATGGTAAGTCAGAGCAATGGTTAAGAGTCTGGGGAGTACATTCATGGCATCTGGAGAGTTTGATATGCTGGCTCCAAGTACAGTTCAAAACTGGATAACCGGAGACGGTCTTGGATGGAAGGAAAAGATAAAACAAAGAGTTGACTCTAAGCATCCAATGATTGGTAGGAATAAGAGTGGATGAGCCTCTTTAGAGGAGCAGTATCCGCTGATTTTTACTAAGGTGTGTGAGATTTTAGAAGGGTTAAGAGGGTCAGGACTTCCTGTAAATGTACCAGTTGCTGGCAATATAATTATTTGGGTAATTTGTCAAATAAATCTGGAAATATTAGAAACCATACGGAATAGGCAGACCGGAGCAACATTTAAGATCTCATTGAGTATGGTGCGGAGATATCTGAGTATGATACTCAAATGGAGCTATTGTGCAAGTACGAAAGCAAGCCAAAAACCTCCGCTTGCCTGGGAGCAAAAGCTCTATGAAGCCTTTCTCAATTAGTCTTTGCAGTTTATACAGAAAACATTCATCAGAGTCTGATAGTCAATTGCAATCAAACTGAAGTTATTCTTATACCAACTGGGTCAGATTACACCTATAATCCACATGGATCTAGGCAAGTTGAGCTTCACAGTAAGGAAAAAAAGTGTGCCTTTACTTCCTTAATTACAACCTCGAATGATGGCGGAATATTACCTACACAGTCAGTCTGGACTGGAAAGACTGTACAATCTCTGTCTGCTCCACAGTTTCGAGCTCCAATAGAGAACGACGGTCACTTGTTCTCCTTCAATCACAAAAACCATTGGAGTTCCTTAGCTATGATGATGGTCTACTTTGAAGAACTCATTAAGTTGTATCATGATTGGATGATAACCAAGCATGGGCTTCAAGCAAATGTAAAAATGATTGTATATTTCAATTGTTGGAAGGTTCACAAGAGTACTGCACTACTTGACTGGCTCAAAGCTACCTAGGTGTAGCTGATTATTCTATTTGTTTCAGCGGGATGCACTGGAATTCCGCAGCCATGCGATGTTGGCTTACAGCAAGTATACAAGCATCACATAAACCTGGCCGCAGCAGAATACTTTCAAGATACTTTGCAAGCTCAGTTAAACAATGGTATAGTAACCGCAAGTATTAGAATAATGGACAACATTGGTAAATTGCGCAACCAAATTGCTACTTGGGTTCTTACCGCTACAAGATATCTTCAAGACCCTGCCTGAGCAGGTCTCATTTCAGAATGCATGGAAGAATTACTCCATAAATCAATATGATTTATCCTCGGAGTGCATAACTGGCAAAGAGTCAATCTAGGCTTTACTGGTAGAGAGTGAGGAAGTGCACAAGCAGGTTATGGGCAGTACTGAGGTAGTTATGCGTAAAGAGAATGACCTATAGGCTGATCATGATATGGATAATGATGGCGAAGATGTCCTATTAGAGGTGGTGGTACTTGCAACCAATATGCCATCTACGCAGGAGATCAGAGATCTTTTGGAGGATGGGGGCATGTTAGTAGTGAATATATAGGTAGTGGTCTTCCTACTGGATTTATGAGATCAACATACTTTTCCTGCAATAGTGGAATTCAACGGGCAGAACAGTCTAATATAGAGGATGAGAGTGCGGATAATGAAGAGGTAGAGCAAGGGCATCCAGATGGGAGTGCCACTACTGCTAGGGAAAGGACTACTGGAAGTATAAGTCCATATTCATTTTATGGAAAGCCTTCCGGGCCAAGTATTTATGTTTCATGTTAATAAACCATTTTCCATTGGTTTCTAATTACTGTTGATTATAATGAGAATCGTGAGAGTTCTACTTAGGTTAAATTATTAGTGAATAGATAAGAACTGGAAACGAGATTCTGTATACAGTATAATACCAGTATAACAACAATTCTGGTTACATAATCTTGATTAGCTGACAAGTTTCAAAATTTGGGACGGAGCCTGATGACACTAACAAAAACACTCATTTTTAGGGACGGAACAAAGAATACTGACAGCTGACAGTCCCAAATAGTATGGGTGCTACAGTATGATACATATGATACATCTTTGTCTGCTTTATCGGGTATAGTACAGTACTGTGGTGAGGCTCCATTGCGTTTAGGTACCTTTAAGGGCCTGTTTGGCAAGGTCAGGATCATTCCGTTCCGTTTGAGAACTATTCCCCATACAAGATGTCCGTTTCAAAACGGGAGGAAACGGAAAGACAAGTATTTTTGTATAGGGAACTGTCACTGAACAGAACAGTCTCGGAATTGCCAAACAGGCACTAAATATGTGTTCTGGGGTTTACGGCTTACTTTATCGACCCGGCTTCAAATGCACGCTACTATACTCGTGCTTCTCAGCCAAGATTTGCCTTCCCCATCAGTCGTAGTGGCTATGGATAGTTCTTTTCTGCTGAAGAAGTACAGTAGATAAGTAGTATGTGACAAGCTGGGAGTCTAACTTTTCAAGTCATCATGAGTGGATGCTGGTGCAATTCACGACATGAACTTTGAACTATATAGACTCTAATGTTTCTATTTATACTAAGAGCACATCAGAGTAATTTAGGCATTGAACTTGTTGTCTCCATCCCAAGCTCGAACTTGTAAGAGATTAAGGTGAAAATTTATACAAAACCGGTCAATCAACTCCTAAGGCATACGATCCCACTCAAATCTCAGAGTATTTACCACCTCTTCTCTTATCTGTTCACTAGTCCCTGTAAAATCGTATTCCATCATTGCATCCTTTAGGTAATTCCAGCAAGGTTCAATCTCGTTCAAGTCTGGAGAATTCGCTAGCTATTTAGGAACTCGGTGAATGCCTCTTACGGCTGCTTCCTCTTTGTCCATTCAGGCTGCCATTGTGTGATTGCCAGCATTATCTTCAATAAGCCAATAATATCGTCCTGTTTGGCTTTGAATAGTTTCAATAAAAGGGTAAAGAAAATCATGAAGAATCCCGTTGCAGTACAGAAACCGATCCAAGCCCCCACCACTACTGCAACCCCGAATCTCCTCACCAAATTCCCAACATGGACGGCGAGGCATTCAGTGGGGATCATTAGGTCCTCAGTTGGCGTTATACTTCGCAATATTTCGATTTAAAGCCTGTATATATTCATACTCAGTGGTGCTTGGAATTATTGCATTTACCCTCCTCTACTGTACCCATTGTGCTTTTTCCTCGTTTTCTTGCCGTAACTCTTCGTTGTTTGTACTTCACTCCTCTGAAGTTTCCTTAATCCAAACCCATAAATGACCTTTAAAACCAAGTACAATGCTACCGAATACTATGATGCTCAAACCAGATTTCTTCTTATTTGGAACTGCAGAAGCATATGGATCTTCTCCTATGTATCTGGTAACATCGCGAAGCCTTCGTGGTTCCCTGATCTCAAAAATCATCTTGTCACTGAAAACGAATGATTCTATTGATTGTTCTAGTCCCTATTCAACCAAATCTAGTCGATCCAATTTGCATTGGGGGGATAAGGGTGGCTTCGATTGACGCTTATAACGGAATAAGTTGTGATGTTTATTCATTATACCGTAGGCGGTTGCGGGGGAAATATTGACTCCAGCTTCACGGGCAATCTCTGGGAATGTTTGAAGACGGTGCTTGATATCTTGAAGAGCGAGGGTTCTCATTTGATCAGATTCTGCAGACCCAGGAGGATATCGTTGCAGAATGGCAGGTGCTTCACGAATCTTATCACCAAACTCAACAGCAGTTAACATGTCTTTGATGTCGTGACTGTTTGACAAGCGTTCCTATCCACTGTGCAAATTATTAATTACTTAATTACAAGATCAAACTATTCTTTTTAGATTTTACTCACCTCAATTCTCTTGAAGATTTGTCTGGCTGTTTCTTTCTTAACTTGTAGGCAGGTTGACAGCTGCTCAAAGGTCATCCAAGCACAGATATGAAGAGCAATAATAGCTGCTTTTAGCGACTTTGAAAGGCTCTTTCCCTGAGGCATTGTGGACCGAGTTCACAAGGGCCTTTCCCGGAAGCGTTGTGGACTGCATTTGAAAGGTGCTTTCCCAGAGATATTGGGCATAGAGTTCGATGGTGTTGAACTTCCTTACCGCACATTTACGCAATCTTGACTGTTTCTGATACACAGGTAATAGTTGCATACTATTCACTATACCGCTTTGGTGGAAAAGAACTGTTCCCATGCCCAACGACAAATGGGGAAGGCAAATCTTGGCTGAGAAGCACGAGTACCCCCCTCCTTTCTTTACAGACGGAGCAAACACGAACGAAAACGATCACAAAACAAGTGAGAGTGGGAGCTAGCCAAATGACGGTGCTACAGCACTTTCACAACGACGACGTTAATTGATTTCCTTTCTTCTCCTCTACTGTTCGTTTCTTCTTTGTGCGAACCTCTTGCCGTACCTTTTTCACGCTTTTCTTTTCACCACCTCAAACCGTGCCACGGTGTCCAAAGCACGTGAGATACAGTACCTTTTTGTGGGCATAAACAATTCCCCGCTGCGCCAAGCCTCATAGGACCATGAAAGAGCCGCTCTCTGTTTAAAGCTTGGCAACTGATTTTCGGTGCCAGCTTCACATTTTGCGCACCCCCGGGTTCAATGAAAGCCATCATTTTGTCGTAACTCTGGAGCCCTAGGGAAGAGTTTATCTTTTACTTGAAATAGATACAGCCTTGTCCCGTCCCTACTCTTCTCACACATCGCGCGCCATGTCAACACAGGAACCATCATCATCTGTACAGCCGGAGCAAGCTGATATAAAAATGACGGATCCATCAAATGCGCGGACTGTTCCAAATTACGCACTGACATACACGCTCAAGGGACATAAGATGGGTGTCTCATCCGTAAAGTTTAGTCCTGATGGTGCATGGCTTGCAAGCTGCTGTATGTGTGCTCTGTCGATGCTATCGTTTTTGTCACTGGATAATCTAACTGGTGGGCAGCTGCCGACCAGACAATTAAGGTATGGCATGCAAAAACTGGAAAATACGAGCAAACATTGGAAGGACACATGGCGGGTATATCGGATATCGACTGGGCGCCAGACTCCCTCACCCTAGTTTCCGGCTCTGATGATAAGACTCTTCGTCTTTGGGATGTTGTCAGTGTATGACCTCTGAGACGATTAGTCATCGATTATGTTTGCTGACCAGCGGTTTATAGGGAAAAATGCTCAGACTTCTTCGTGGCCACCACAACGCGGTCTACACTGTTGCCTTCTCACCACGCGGCAATATCGTTGCCTCTGGTTCCTATGATGAGGCCGTTCGTCTGTGGGATATCCGTTCGGGAAAGTGCATGAAAACCTTACCTGCACACGGAGATCCGGTTTCTGGTGTCCATTTCAATCGCGATGGGACAATGATCGTGTCCTGCTCTCACGATGGTCTGATACGGATTTGGGATGTTACTACTGGCCAATGCCTTCGAACATTAGTTGAGGAAGATAATGCTCCTGTCATGGCTGTTAAATTTTCGCCGAATGGGAAATATTTGTTAGCAGGGACTCAGGATAGTTGTGTCCGGTTATGGGACTACCATCGCGGCAAATGCCTTAAAACCTATATGGGACACAAAAATGACAAGTACAGTATATTTTCAACATTCATAATTGCTAATGGCAGTTGCTTTGTGTAAGAAATTACTCCTCTGGCAGTTTTTAGTCTTGATACACGGGGAGAATTCTAATAATTTATTTGCAGAATGGCCGGGTCAGAAAACTCAGACGTCTTCATCTGGGACATTCAGACTAAGGAGATTGTTCATCTTCTGGTGGGCCATCCAGATGTGGTCTTGGGAGTCGACTCACATCCAACAGAGAATATTGTTGCCAGTTGTGGGCTAGATGGAACAGTAATGGTTTGGATGGATTCTGCTGAGGGATTGGACGAATGAGTATACTTTGTTTCATAAGGGTGGATCGGAGTATCGATGTGCTGGGGCTCTGGCTGTACTTGTGATAATCCATTCCAACATTCTTGTGGTGAATGAAGTTCTCTATTAAAATAATACACTAGGGTATTACTGGTGCCATAACCACTGACGTGGGGTTAATAGTCTATGATAACTTTACGGTAGTTTACAAGTATGATGCATGGACTTGGGGAAGCCTGACCCTCGGTATCATAACTTCCGGCTGTTGCCGCTGCAGCTGCGAACATGGCCCGTGCGTCCCTACCAGGTTTGGGAATGATGTACCGGTAGTACTCGAGTATGTACGAGTACGGGTAGTCTACAGTGTGCAGGTATTATATAGTTGGGTTATGATCGCCTACTTCCACGGTGTTCCTAGAGGCACTCGGGAGGTCCAGACTATTTTAAAGACGATAATCATGTTGGATATTAGTCACCGTACGAAGGGGGTCGAGAGAAGTTCTGGCGAATGTGGCGAACGGAATATCGCTATTTGGCAGCCAAGACTTCGTCATACTTTTTCCCACCCCTTTCGTACGTGAATGCCTCCATGATATCATAGCATGAATTGTTCGTAGCACGTATTCCTACCACACTTGCAACGCCAAGACTTTCCTGTGTTTACCCTGTCGCGTTCCCCAATCATCACATCTCGGCCACTGTAACCATACTCCAAACCCCCACCGCAATTTCACCCACCCTACATCAACATATTGGACGACAAACAAAGCGCCAGAACCATTCGGTGCAGTATAAACTTTCAACTATGGCTCGGACCCGTAGTATTTCCAATGATCGCGCGGTTGGTCGTCGTGCGCGAGACTCGATGCACTGGAATCGCTACTCGCATTCGCCTATCGGTTCCTCGCAAAGAACAGAGACAGAACCACAAACGTCTGTTAGGCGTGTGAAGTCTGCTTCTCCAGGCCCAGCATTGATTACGGGAAGAACTCAGCGGAAAAGCAACGGAACAACACCTGTATTACCGACACCGTCACAACGCAGCCGGGTGTGGAAGAACGGGGTTGTTAAACAGAGGGCAAGGTCAAGGTCGCAGAGAGGACGCTCCAAAGATGGTGATGATGTTTCCGGGCCATCAAGGGATGGATCTATGGTTCCCGCCCAAGCGCATGAGGCTCAAGAGGGAGACAAAATCTCACGAGGTGAGCATTACCCTAATTGTTTTTTTGCGCCATACTATTATTGCTTATTCAAACCCAATACCACCTACCCTTATCAATTTTTATGCTATCATGCCCAACTTTGCTCGTTTGATATCATAGCCATTGTTGCGCTTCCCTGGTCGTCTTCAGCCATCGGTTGCCAGACACCCTTTGATCATGTGAGGGCTCAGCGAGGCGGCGCCCTCAGCGAGGCATGGCCTGGCATAGCTTGCTACTATGCCGCAAAAACCCATAGAATCCGCCAGGCCTCCAATCTTCGTCAAATCCCATCAGGCTCTTCGTCAAATCCTCGCATCAGGCCACTCTCAGTCTAGTTTGATAGGTTAAGAAAATTGCGAACACCGGTAAGTGAGATCCAGCAGATCCAGGGAGCTGATCATATACCATGTCCGGAAAACGCTAATCCCTCCGTGGATTCCTAGGGTTTTTACGGTAGTTGAACGTTGGCAGCTTTTGCTACCAAGTCTCGCCGCGCCTCGCTGGGCCCTCATATGGTCTACATTTCGTAATTTCTACGTTCCACATGTGCCAATCAGACGCCGCTATGGTTCCGTGCTTAGGGGTAGCGCATGATAGCGGCAATTTGCTCACAATAGTTTTAGCTCTTCCTGATCTCCCCGAAGACGACGTGATTAGCTTCGCTAGTTTCCTAGATACACCGCGTTCTTCCATTATGAGTAGGCGTTCTGGATCCCCGCCAAATGGTCCCATCGCCTTACAGACCCCCGGACCGAAAAAGTCGTCAACCCAGCGGGAGTTGGAGGCAATGGATACAGAATTGGTGCTCGAATCGACCTCAGAACTTGACAGAAATGCCCAGAGGCTACTTGATCTTCTGATTCTAAATCCACCCGAGGGAGATATGTTGGTTAGTACGCATACAAAAGACTCGAAGGTCTCAAAGCGACTAAGAGTTTATTGGCTGGCTTTTGGTGCTTCGAAAATAGTCTTTGGTACATCGCATTTTCTTGACGTTGGCACTGTGGAGATGGCGTTGGGGGGGGGGGGTTATACTCCTGTTATCTACAGGGCCAACTTGGCTATTCTGGCCAACTTTATATACACCGCAAATGAGGAAGATGATACCACTTTTCAAGAGTTGAAAAGCATCGAGAGATATTTTCCGACCCAGGTAGGAGGTATTATTGATGATCAGAGCCTTCAATTTGCCCTCGACCTAAGGACACAGACGGTTATCCGCGGCATGTTATCGGTTCAGGAAGACTCTCTTGAGCCAAATATGTTTCTGAAACATTTCTTTATGGAAAGAGTTCTAGCGAGCGAGGCTAATGATGGAAAACCGGAGTACAAATGCAAGCCTTGGCTGGGTTCACGCGATGTTGATGAATGGGAGGGGGTAATCATCGAGAGAATCCGCAGTATCCGATCAACGTTCCGTTTCGAGGGGGGTCAGAACGACGGCGAAGAGTCTCACAAGGGTCGTGTTCAAGTTGACTTCGAAAAGCTAACGGCTCTGTTTCCTTGGAAAGGGTTTGTGGGTCAGGCGACGGAATTTATCAAGGGGCAACTGATCAAGCTTGATGATTCTAACATGGGTGCCTGTAAAGAACAGGGTTCGAGTGCCAACAAGAAGATTGTGGATGAGTCTCAGCAGCAAGTGGAAGTCAGCCTTGAGAACAGGGACTCTTTCGATCAAGATACATCACAAATATCGACTGAGGTGGATAAAGTAGAGTATTCGGGGTTATCAAATTTTGAGGATCAAACAGTTGACAACCAGAATCCTGATTCTCAACCAGAGCCTTCTTCTCAGTTTGTTGGCGGTGGATCACAGTGAGGCCCCTCGGTTTTCCATTTTTTATACTATCAATTTGTGTACTAATCAACTTTATCTGGCTATGACAGGCTTAATGTCCGTGCTGCTAAATTAGTCAAAAGGGATTTACTAGCTAGGGAAGCTCTGTCGAAAGGGGTTCGGGCGAACTCCATAGCCTCCTCCATTGTCTCGAACCCCGAGTCAATTGCCACTACTGTTGCTCAAGTAAACGCAATTAAGAAGCGCAAACGGAAGTCGGAAATCATGGAAATAACAAACAGGCAGGAGGATGGGGAGGCCCAAAGCACGACTCCCGGATATGCGGTTTCTGAAACAGTTGTGAACAGTTTGGCCCAGATGAAGCATCTGAAAGGAGCGAAAAAACTACTCGTTCAACAAAAACAATCGGTTCCAGCCCCCTTACCGCTTGCACTGGGGAGACAGGAGCTGTCTGGAGATCCGGATGACCTGCTATCGACGAATCAGGAAGGTGGTTGCGAGTTCACACAGGTCAGTGAGGGTGATCGGGATGAGAGCGATGGAGAAAGCAGCGATGATCCAGGCTATCGAGCATTTTCCGAGCTTCGTAGGGAGCAGGACAAGGAAAATAAGAAACGGATGACTCCAGTACCGCTTCCTTCCCCGCGTCGTAGGAAAAGACTAAAGCGCTTCCTCGATCCGCAAGAGGGAGCAATGAGGGGAAGTCCAATTGATGAAGAAGGTGTTGTGATTTTGACCCCGCCCATTAGATCAGACAAGAGTAGGGGTAATCGAATCCGTCGCACCCTGGGTCCGGGTGAGGAGGAGCAAGAAGATGAGGATGGTGATGAAAGTGAGGAGGAGCAAGAAGACGAGGGTGGTGATGAAAGTGAGGAGCAAGAAGATGAGGACGAGGATGGAAGCGAGTTTGTGCCTGATCCAAGGGATGTCAGGGAAGATAACGTGAATAGGAGCCGGAGGCATTTGCCATCGGGCTTTAGAAATGGCTCCGTGTCCTCATCAGACTCGGCTAATTCACCACAAAGTGTCGCTGTGGTCATAGATAATCGCCTTTCCGCCAATCCGCTAGCCCGGAGAGGCAGTAGCTCTAATGTAGCTCTGGTTCCTGCCAATCCCTCGCATCGAAGCCAACGAAACCCCTCAGAGGAAGCTGAGGGCTCGCAGGCTGGTCCTTTGGACAGAAGATTTGATGAATATAGCCATAGGAGCTTGCAACAAGTTTCTAGGATCAACAGGTTAGCCAAGATAAACCGTGCGGCAGTACACACCCAACGGAGGTCAACAACCTTTTGGACTGAAGAAGGCACAAAGGCGTTGATGCAGGCAATCCATGAGTACGGCCCGTCGTGGGCCGTAATCAGGGATGTGAGTTCCTATCCTTATTCTCCTGTTGTTGAACACTGAGCTCATCCCCAGCCATCAGTTAGCAATACCCGGTTTAGAAGGCCGAGACAATGTGCAGCTAAAGGACAAGGCCCGAAACATCAAGGTTGACATAATAAAGTACCTCAACCCAACCCCTCCTTACTTAGAATCGACTTACTAATATGAGATATCCGGGAGCAGAGCAAAGATCCCCTTGCCTCTATGCTTCCGCCGTGTTTCCATCAAAAAAGCTGATATGGAAATATTGGCAAAAATGGGAATTTACCCAGACGAGGATGGAAATTATCTGGAAGATCCCGATCGGTGTTCTGAACATACCTTTGAGGTATAAGGACTCATCCGGAAATGTGTATCCTTCTCTCCTTTTTTCCTTTCTTCTAACTGGAAAACGTTTGCAGTTTTTCTCTTGTAATGTATGATACTTCCTTTATCTCTTGTGCTACTAGGCGGATGACTGGTATTTTTTCAAGTTCAAGCGTTTCTGTATCATACAAGGATTTTTTTTTTTAATCTGCTTAATTTGGTGGGGTTTGGTGGCTCTTTGCACCCATTTTTTTTCGTGCGCACCCTTGGGGCTGTCGCTACCGGTGAAATGGATAGGCGTATAGGTATTCTTTTTATGGTGTTTCTTACTTATTTCTTATGATTTGGTGTGGTGTGGGTGCTGGTGCCATATTGCCAGTGCTGTGTATTGTGCTGTAGACGTAGTCTCCAATAACGTTCTGCATGCTGGGATGTTGGTCCACTTTTACTTTGTAAATTACTGTACGACACTTCTTAATAGTTGTCTGAATCGTCTCTTCCAATTGGTGATCTTGATCACAAGTTTTGGTCGAAACAATGAGTGCAATCGGACGCTTCATGACTCTTGAGATATACTCGTATGTAGGTTTGGATTGTGTTTAAGTTAGGGTATGATCGAGCTGTACGGGTACAGTACATTATCATACTCGAGCAAGAGTGCAGATATGATAATATTATGATAGCGCGATGCTGCGCCGGTTTCCCTGGATGAGGCTCTGAGGTTTTAGCATAACCCTAACCCTAAACTTGTCTTTTGGAACACTTTTTCTTCCTTCATTATCGGCAGCTCTCCCGCACTTTCCCTGCTCTACATTGACATCATACACACTTCGAGAATTCCTACGCCTTGTCACTGGAAATTTATCCCCATCAAACCATATTGACATAAGCGCGGTCCCAACTCGAACTGTCCCTAGCATGGTATGTATCCCATCACCCCGAATCATGAACAAACTAGCTAACACCCCACCTCCTTGTATAGAAAGTGAAAGCTCTTTCCCGATCGTCCTTGACATATAGTCCTGCGGGAACAAATGCCACCGTGCAACCCCGAAACCTGGATCCTGAAATACACCCTTTCGAAAGGGCCCGTGAATATACCCGAGCATTGAATGCGACCAAACTAGAGCGCATGTTTGCGGCGCCCTTCATCGCTCAACTGGGAATCGGCCACATCGACGGCGTATATTCGCTAGCAAAAGACATACGTGCTCTCGACCGAATAGCATCAGGTTCTGGCGACGGTGAGGTCAAGATATGGGACTTGGCGGATAGAAAGGAAATTTTGACAGTTAAGGCTCATGAGGGGATTGTGAAGGGATTGTGCTTTACATCCGTCGGTGGGGACGATCGATTGTTATCCTGCGCGAGTGATAGGACGGTCAAGTTGTGGGATCCACAAGGGGCCGGCGTTAGCTCGAACGTTCCCACTGCGACATATCTTGGGCCTGGCGCCTTCAATGGGGTCTCACATCACCGAGTGGATCACACATTTGCCACTGCATCATCTATGATAGATATTTGGGATACCAGCCGTTCGAAACCGATCACAACTCTCCAGTGGGGCGCCGATACAATCAATACGGTCAAGTTCAACCAGTCAGAGACCTCCATCCTTGCTTCGGCGGGATCGGATCGAACCTTGATATTCTACGATCTTCGGACCTCGTCTCCGACGGCTAAAGTTGTCACAAGGCTACGGACGAATGCCATCTGTTGGAATCCGATGGAACCGTTTAACCTTGCTGCTGCGAGTGAGGACCATAATACATATATCTTTGACATGCGTAAGCTCAACAGAGCGTTGAATGTCCTGAAGGATCATGTTGCCGCAGTCATGGATGTGGATTATTCACCTACCGGGGAAGAATTAGTGACTGGTAGTTATGATCGGACTGTCAGAATCTATAGGGCCCGTGAGGGGCATTCAAGGTAGTTCCATTCACTAGCTCTTCGGCTCATACATAATTTTGGGCGATTGGGTTGAATGCGAAAGGTGCTGACACCAGTGTGACCCCTGCAGGGACATTTATCATACAAAACGAATGCAACGCATCTTCTCGGTCGCCTTTACAACTGACACTCGTTATATTCTTTCTGGGTCCGATGATGGGAATGTCCGCCTCTGGCGGGCTGAGGCCTCCCAGCGCTCCCACGTACGCTCGGCCCGCGAGCGTACCAAACTCGAATATGATAACGCGCTTAAAGAAAGGTATAAGCATATGCCTGAGATTCGTAGGATAGCGAAGCACAGACACGTCCCTAAACCCATAAAGAAAGCGGGAGAAATCAAGAGGGTCGAGGAAGCTAGCCTCAAGAGAAAGGAGGAGAACAGGAGAAGGCATTCGAAGAAGGGCCAAGCGCGGAGGATTCCGCAGAGGGAAGCGATGGTTATTGCCCAAGAATAAACGAGCGAAGCGTAGTGAGGGGGTGAAAAGGGGGAGGGCCAGCTCCAGCCAAATGTAAAAATAGAAAAGTTCATGATGAGGGCCCGGTGTATGATAAATGAAAAATAAAATCTATGTGAGATGCGACACACAACACACCGGGAAGCTCTAGCAGAAAAATCATGAATAGCGCCCCACGAGTGACGTCTTGTGCCGGTAGAGAAACCAAACACCTTCAGAAAACGTTCGGGGCCAATGACCAATCGGACATGTTTCCCTCACAGACCAAATAATCCTCGCCAAACAAACCCTCAACCCCCGCCTCCCATCCTATATGCTTGAACCGAGACGGGTATCATATCAGACGGCCGCGGCGTGGGCGGACCTTTGCTTCCCCCCATCCCTCAAACTCGCCGAGAGAGGGAGGGATGATGCCATAGAAGGACGGCGAAAGGGTAATACGTGTGAAATGCGGCGATATTCACGGTACGATATTCGCTATCATAGTGGCAATGACGGAAATAGCAGAAATATAGTAACTCGATAGCTTGTATGGTATCGAAGCATACTGTCCAACTCTTCGCATTCGAAACTTTTTATGACATCATACAATAGTTACTCACTCATCCGGCTTTTTATTATCATTAATGATAATAATTATTATTATACTTTTACTTTCCAATATTCAGAACTTGACCTTCGGTTTTTTTTCCCAGATATTGATTACCATAACACTAACCTCCCCCCCCTCCGTCCTACACACACTGAATTTAAGGAGTTACAACTTAGGACACTAATCTAAACCAAACCAAACCGGGAAGCATGTACTGGTGGACGGATAGATAGATAGATAGCAGGTTTTTTTCCTTCTTCTTTTTCGGTAGAGAAAGTTGGTTGAACGGAAAGGTTAAGGAATCACTCACTTACAACCTCAATTGAAAGATATGGATCTTATCACTTGTACAATAAGTTATCATACGACAGAAAAAAAAAAAAAGAAAGAAAGAAAGTCAACTTCCTAATCTTATACCATGTCATGGCGCATATAAAGCATCACATTGTAGGTTTCCATCATGTACCAGTTCACAGGTCCCATACTTTCCACCGTCCCCCATGATATCCTTACCTACAACCTTTTTTCTGGGCCGAGAAAGAATTGACACCCGTTTGCGCTTTCTACTGGCTTTTTGTAGTGGCCATGACGAAAGGAGTGTTAATTCCTGGCGCTGAGATGCGATACGAGTACTGTACTTCGCCACTGGCGAATCCCGCAAAATAATGCGGTGCTGGCGGCTCAATATCCTATGTGGTAGTGTGAGTGAACATAATTCGTAGGCTATTTTTCAGGAGGAATGGCATCCCCGGCAGATGCGGTGGCAGCATACTCCCTCCATTTCGTGGGCTGAGCATTGGGGGGGGGGAATCTTAGGTATCTGCGATGTGTAGCGAGATGAGAGTGATAGGCTATGATTATGATTAATTCTACGCCTATACGGGGTTTGGTATTTTCGTTTAGCGGAGCTTCTGGGGCTGGGATCCCGACGTGGGTTTAGGAAGGGATAAGGTTTTGTTGAATTAGGGTGGAAGTACGCTATAAGTTGATTTCCGGCCCACGATCCTGTTCTTTTCTCCTCTTTTTGGCTCTCCGTCGAGGATCTCAGCTCTACCGGTATGTGAAGAGAAGGATGGATGGAGGATAGTTGAACTCAGCCGAATAGGAGCACGCAACCAACACTTAGTGCGAATGAATTGTACTGTAGCTTACTGGTCCGGAGATAATACTGCAACCATCTATAAGCGCAATCCGTTCTAATCCCCCTTCCCGTCCCGCCCCTACCTAGAGCAACAAAACTGGGGGCTCTCATCAAGGGAGCATACGCCACAAAAAAAAATAATATTCTAATCAATTATCCCTCGCCCCACCTCTAACCTACCGTGGTTGAAACTTCCCTTACTCACCACCACCTCTTTGACGCATTCTCTCGCACCATTGCAACCTCAAGCTTCCTCCTCCTCCTCTTAACTCTCTGCTCGAGCCAGTACGCCATCCCGACCCCCCAACCCAACCCCGCTAAATGCGCCACATTATCGATTGTCTGCCATCCCCTCACAATTCCAAATGCCTCCAGCATCGCGACGCCAGACATGAAGTATTTAGCTTGTAGGCCAATGAACGGCAGGAAGATAAATGAGAGTTTGGTCTCGGGATTGAAGTAGGTGAATGCTCCGAGAACACCAAAGACAGCACCAGAAGCACCGAGGGCGTAGACGTGAAAGCGACCACGGAGGACGTTATGTGTTAAGGAGGCAAATGAAGCTATGACCCCCGAGGAGAAGTACAGCCCAAGAAAATTGCCACGGCCGATTTGGTCACAGACTATGATTCGGTAAATTAGCTATTTGTTCGTAGAATAAAGTGAAAAAAAGGAGAAAAAAGGGCATACGAGTTGACCCAAAGATATACAACGCCTATATTCCCAACCCATCCTTCAATTAGTCACACCCACTCACAGTCCAAACTCTACCAACCGAAATGGGAACAACGTACAAACATGTTAAGGCCCAAATGCGTCAAACTCTGATGCGAAAACACACTCCCCAGCAACCCTACACTATACGGTAACGCAGGTGCACAAAGAAAGTACCTATTCAGGAACCTCCAAGATATGGGCAACGGGATCTTCCAAGCAAACCAGACGGCAGCATTGGCAGCAATGATGGCAGCAACGGTCGTCACACTCTGAGGCAAGGCCGGGAACATGCGGGCGTCAAGTGGGGGAGGTGTCCATGTTAAAGCAAAATAGTAAGAACCTCCGCAAACAGCAAGAGTGAAGACGAGCGGTGCAAAGAGGCGTTGGGAGTAAGAGAGGTCTCTGGGAGCCTCGTCTTGGGATAACTGCCCTTGAGCTTTCAGTCTATCGAGGAGTTTAGGCTGGGGTTTAGAAGGGAGGTTTTCGGAGGAGTTTATTGCTGGCTTGAGAGTTAGTTTCCCCGATTGTGGGGGAAGTTTTCGGTTGGGGAATTGCTTGAAGGCATTGTGTTGGAAGAATCGTGGTCGAGGACGTTGGGTCCGGAGTACCCGGAAGCCAAACCTGGAGGAGGCTGACTGAATACATGTTGTTTTGGAAGTGTTGAGCAAGATGGTAGTGCACGATCGGGTGAAAAGATGCAGCATTGTGGGGTCTTGTGTAATGGTATTGGTGTTGGTGTTCAGGCCCGTGAGGCCGGCTGCGAGGACAAGATATGTCCAGAAAGTCCAGAAAAATGATAATCCGGTGCCGGGTAACACCTTCACCACTCGAGCAGATAATCCGCGGAAGCAAAAGTGTTGTGCTTGTAGTATAATATATATTATAATATATAATATATACATGTACCGTATATCCCGATATCCCCAATTCAGCGGAGAGCATTAATGATGATATCCTGTCAAGCTATAGAACATGGACTAACAGCGCAGAAACGGTTTCATTTGAACATCCAATAAATACCCATAACAACCCCATTTCAATTCTAAAAATACAGAACACCTCTACACACGCTGCTGATTTAACGATAGAATTCAAACTTATCCGCCTCATTGCCACCCTTGACCTGGCTACTGTATGCATCTTCCAAATCGGCCTGAATAATGTTGTACCTATTCTTTCTTACTGCTCTCAGGCCAGCCTCCTGCATGATGGCAGCAATGATGGCTCCTGAAAGGGGATCATTCCGAATAATCAGTGAATCCAGATCAACCTCGGGAGAGAGTGACATCTTAGAAGCGATGGTGGTGAAGATAAGACGCCTCTCACGACGGTCACGGAGCGACGGGAACTCGATTTTACGATCTAGACGACCGGGTCTGAGGAGAGCAGGATCGAGAGTATCAGCACGATTGGTAGCCATAATAACCTATTCGAAACTTAGCTTTCAGAAAATAATAAACTTAATACCCATTTCTCCCACCGGAAAAACTTACCTTTACGTTCGAAGTTTGGTCAAACCCATCCATCTGATTTAGTAGCTCCAGCAAGATACGCTGCACTTCACGGTCGGCACCAGTTTGCGCATCAAAACGCTTTGTCGCGATGGCATCAATCTCATCGATGAAGATAATAGCAGGGGAGTTCTCCCTAGCCATGCGGAAAACATCACGAACCATTCGAGGACCTTCACCAAGGTATTTTTGGACGAACTCAGAACCGACCACACGGATAAAGGATGCCGTAGTACTATTAGCGACAGCCTTTACCAACATGGTTTTTCCCGTTCCAGGTGGGCCGTATAACAGAACACCTCGCGGAGGATCGATTCCTAGGTGGAAATTAGCAAAAGTAACTACAAAAAAAACCCCCCCACAATTCCATCCAACTTATCTAAAGATTCGACGTACCAATCTGCTTGTAAAGATCAAAGTGCGTGAGAGGAAGCTCAACAGCCTCGCGGATCTCCTGTTTTTGCATATCCAACCCTCCAACATCAGCGTAGGTGACATCGGGCTTCTCGTGAGCTCCCAGCATAGCAATCGACGAGTCTGCCTCCGGGGGAAGAATGTCAACGAGGGAGTTCGAATGTCTGTGCAAAGCGACAGACGATGAAGGCTTAAGAAGCTCCCGATCAAGGGTGGATAATATGCGCACAACAAAGTTCGATCCGGTTGAGCTTTGGACAATTCCGGTACTATAGAGCCAAACATTCGCATTCATCAATCCATGATCGCCATTCCATCTATTCATCAAGTGCAGCGGGGGAATAGGGGACATACTTCTGATCGATCGCCTCCATGAACTGTCCAATTACCAACGGAACACTCTGGATCCGCTTAATCTCCTCCTGCGCCCTAACGAGCTCTCGCTTCAAACTTCTGTCAAACAATTAGCGTCCGTCAACTTATTTCCATCTCGAGCACCCGGAGATCAAAACGTACCGCTGCTCATCTTTGATATACTCCTCTTGCAAAGTAATGTACCTAGAAGCCCAGAGCTATCAGCCATCGTTCCCATCACCATAACCAACGGTAGACCCGATCTCCAAGGCCCGGAAGGACGTACTCTAGATGCCGCTGAAGCCTCTTGAGTTTTGCGTAATCATTGTTATCCCCTAAGGAGCCGTCTAGGGTGCCATAAGATGGATCGGTCAAGGGTAGTATAGCGGGGCGCTTCTGAACAGCTACGTCTCCCATCTTGGATGAATATAATAAAGAGACTTGGGTGTGTCGGATTTCCGTTCACTGTGGGAGATGGAAGTGGTGAAGGCAACCGTGATGGATAGGCTATTGATGGGTATGGGATATGGTGGATAGAGAGGTGTGATGTGGGTGTATTGTGAAGCCAAAGTGACAAGAGTTGTTGCCCGCGAAAGGTTGGGCGCAACTAGAGCCTAGAGGTGCAGGAAGAATGCCACGGCTTGGCATATTAAATGGCGGTTGAATTCAAAGGCCAATAGCCGATTGATGACTTATGACTACGGCTAGGAGGGAGGTTTTGAACGGCCCCTCTGCTGGTGGCAACAGGTGAAGCGCAGTTCTGAAACCCCTCCCAACATGAAGGTAAAGCCTCAGGGACAGACATTTTTTCCCAGGAAGAAGTTGGCAATACAAGTATCGTAAAAAAATACGAATCGGCGACCATGCCTGCCAATCTCACAGAGGTATTTCACAGGCAGTACCTCCCCCCCTCAAGAGCCAATGCGCCGATGTAAGTTGTCAGCCGTGTGGAGGGCGTCAACCTTTTCTCCTTACGTGCTCTCAAGAGTTTTTGACTCGAATAACCAAACATATCTAGTTTCACGCACAAAATCCCACTTTATCAATCACATCTACCCCATGAAATGACAGTTTTCTTTCTCCAGTTTGGTTTGTCACCTGATAACCCAGGGTTCCCCGCAAGAACCGCATTAAGGATGCCAACATGAAAGGTGTCTCTAAGGTGATAAGAATGTTAGTGAATCGGTACGATGGTTTGAGGTGGCAGCTAATTCAAATCAATGGTTTGTTTTTTAAATGTACTCTAGCTGAAGATTGTAAATCATAAAATTTCTTGCAGGAGACAACTCTACATTTTCGCTCAATTCGCAAAATTGACTCCTTTCAAGAAGCCAAGGGTAATAGGGAAGGATTAACAAAAGCGGTAGAAAAATACGGGGTCAAGGGCACAATGTGAAAGGGAGAAATAACAAAAACCTGACGCCCTCTGAATTTAACCAGGCTAATTGGACGTAGGAAAATACCGACTTCTAACTGCCTGACTCAGGCTAGACATTCTACTTCCCATACCACCAGCTTGCATAGTACTTAGGTAGGCATCTTCCATTGCCGACTGCGTAACACTCGTGTCTATGAAATGTTAGTATTTAGATCAGATGATAGATATAATACACATACCGGAAAGATCACTGAAACTACTACCCATGCTTGGCGAACTAGGACCGGCACTGTCAGTCACAGTAAGTTTCCTGGGGCTGCTCATGGCAGCGGGAACCTGTTTTTTCAGGGCAGCCTCAAGTGCTGGGGAGGTGACAGATCTATTGACCTCTTTCCCCTTCCCAGATATCGCACCAGCCGCGCCTCTCCTAGGCAATATAACAGTCCCTGTCATATTCGCTTCTCCAAGACTCAAGGGCTTCTCGGCAGAAGGGAAAGGCAGAAACGCTGGTTCATTATCGCCCTCGTCTTCGTCAGAACTCGTTCCACGGTTCTTCTGAAGGAAACCCTGGAGTCTGCGTGGAGGTTGATCAGTATCGTCGTCATCGTCATCGTCATCAGATGAGCCGGTAGTTGAGGATTCGATCTCTTCCTCCGAAACTTCTGACGAGGATAGCCTCTGAGCAGGAGATGGATTCCGAACCGGCTCGGCCGGTACATGACTGGAGAGGCGATGTGCGGTGGTTACTTGAGTCGCCGTGCGAGCAGAACATGTCCGTGACATGGGTTGGGCAACGGCTATTCTAAGTTTAACTATTTTTTTCCGCTGAGGGGGGTTCTAAGACCTTACGTCTGGTAGATGTGGTTGGAGTTGGAGGGAGGGGCGTAGTTCGGGGGTTTGGGGTTGTAATTGGGTTTGACCGAACTGAAAGCGATGAGTGAGCCCTTAAGTCCGCTATATTCATTTATATAAACACCGTTTGTCATGGCTACAGCCAGAGGGAAAGAAAACATACCTGTTCCAGCGGTTCCAGTCCTGGCCATTGGAACACCACCCATGACAGCTGGTGATTGTGGTCGCGGAGAGGCGGGCGTAGGGAAGCTCAGGTTGGTGTTCAGGATGGGCCCTCCGGCCCTTCGCATCTGAGCTTGAATTTGAGAAAGCTCACGCTCGTAAAGCCATGCAGCTTGTTGGAGTAGAAATGCGCGAGAAACCTGAAGATGGCTAGCACTGTAATCGGACCATGTTAGCCGTACGAGTATTAGCCGAAACGATGGATTGTGCACTCACAGCGCATTCCCTTGCTAGCTATCAGCAAATAATCAAATCATGAGTGGATGAAGAGAATTTACAATCTAAGTCTGCATTTCGATTGCTCCGGGAAAGAACTTTCCAGAGGTACCTTTCCTTCCCAGCGTCCCAATCCACCTACCCATAGTTAGAGCTCCATCCTATCTCCAGGCTTCTCTAGAACAGAATACCAACCTGCGGCGGATCGACAAACCCATTCCTTGCAAACGGGAATCTCAAATAGACAATATACTTTTCTTCAGGCTGTTGGGGCATTGGTGGTGTTTGACCCCTACGACTTCCTTCCCGTTCTCCTCTGAGTGAATTGGTCCGCTGCGATAGTGGTGTACCCGTGCGTGAAGGACCGGAACCGGCCCCAGGCACTTCCCCGGGTCCTCCCCCTCCCCCTCCAGCTCCTGTAGCTCCACGAGCGGATGACTGGCGGGATCCGAGTCCCAAAACATTAGGCATTTTGGCGATAAGCTGGTTGAATAAGGTTGGTACGGGTACTGGCATCAAAGCGAGTAAGATCAACGGGGTGAGCAGGTGATGGAAGAGACAAGAGCGAGGAGCTGGAGACACGGGGCAGCCGAGTGTTTTACTCAAGGATTCACCTGGCGGTCGGTAGAAGGGTAGGCTCTGACATTATATGTTTTAGGATAAAAGAGTTGTGGGAATTTAGTGGAGAGGGTCAGGTACGACGGATTATCGTAAGAGTAACTCGAGTCAATCATACAAACGCTATGGATGATAGGACAAACAATCCGTGGGCCATGTCACCTTACTCATCGCTCAGAATGAGTTGTGAGTGGTCCATCAGCCCCGACCGGCCCCTGTCGGCTCGCTTAGCTTTTAGAGCCTCCGTTCGGCTTTCCCTTTCTTGCTCGACGAACTTGCACTTCCCGACTAGGAACACCACCACAGCAACCGCATTAAACCATCTTGGTCATCTCCCCGTCCCTTGTGGTCCCTGTGATCCTAAAACACCGTTCTCTGATATCCAGACCGCTCCAAAAAATTTTCGACATTTCAAGGTGGGAGACTCGGGACCGATTTACCGGTGCTATGCTAGGATGCACCGTACAGCAGACACAGCACAAGGGCTAAGTATGTAATCTCGACAATATGCTTCTTAGCCTGCAAGATTACTCCTTTTAGCCAAAGGCGCTTCTCCCTGGGCTATCACGGAGAGTAGCTTCTTGCCTAGGGAACGTTAAAAAATAATAATCGAAAGACCTCCCAGACGATGCAAACATCCAACCCTAGGTCTTAAACCTGGCTTGAGCACTAAGTCTAGATACTGCTCCGCTATCAGCCATCTACTCCTCGATCGGGGTCGGCGGGTACCCGGATTGCAGCACCTCTCCACTATCCTTCCGGAGAGAAACTTCTACAGCTAACTCATACATAGAATTGAACTAGGCTGCGCAAAGCGGGTGCGCTAAGATGGTATGATACTGTATAGTATCCGCATTCTACGGCCTGTAAAAATGCTAGATCCTCTGGCTACATGAATGTTATCACGCCAGCCAATGAGATTTAGTGGGGTTTAGCGAGGGGGTCCCCGTTGCGCTCATGTCCAGTACAGTAGAAGACCACACATTCTCTAACCTAGCCCGAAGTTGCTCTTGTAGACAATGTCTGGATCGATGTATTAGAAGGTCTTGAGGACGACAACTGCGGGGCAGTTCCATGGAATTACCACTCCAAGATGGAGATCGATGATAGGCCTCTATCTACATAATCCGGTTTGTAACGGGGACTATGCTACGGTATTAGGATGCATTAGGTGGAGATACTGGACCTCTTGTAGTCGCATCCGGTCATCTCATTGAGTGGTCACTTGCATAACCTCCCTTGGACGTGGGGTCCTGCTTTGCCTCATTATTTCTTCAGCCTTGAACTCGTTCCGGAACCACAATTTAGTGGCGAGGTCTTTGGACAGAGAGAGAAGGATGTCATGGCGGGAGGTTGGGATATCTACTCGTAGTAGATTAGTTCTGGTGAAATTTAACTTGGATCTTCTTTGTGCCCATTGTCTAGCGAAAACCAGCTACAGCTACACAACGCATTTCCCATGATTCGTTCGCACTCACATAGGGTCCAATTTACAGACAAATGCAATAACAGACAATAAAAAAGCATTGCCCGCTTCTCTTTACACAAGCCAACCCCAAAATACCCATTACTATTCCAGAGTCGAAAGAATTAACAATTAAAAATCCATCGTATCATCATACTCGGACCCCAAATCCCCCTCTAACCTCCCACTCTCCGTCACTCCGACCCCCATGGCTCCAACGCCCGCATTGATGCTCATCCCCTTAGGCAAACTAACAATGCTTCTGCCAAAAATCCCACTCCCGCCATAACTTGTCTCAGCACACGATGAGGACGCGGGTAACGACATCACACCAGACTCATCTACACTGCCATCGGCATCATCGATTTCCGTTTCCTCCCCCTCTCCATTCTGTGTCTCCCGAACTACTACCTCAGGCTGAAACTCTGGCTTATGGTTCTCCTTCTCCTTCTCCAAGTCTCCAACAGCCTTCCGTCGGTTAGGCTGCTTAACAGGCTTGAAACCCAACCTCCCCTGGGATTGTGACTTGTGCACGGGTGTCTTTGGCGTTGGCTTTGTCTTTGTGCGTTTTGAGCTGTGGTGTCTTTGTGGGGAGTTGGTTTCTGGGAACAAGTCTTGAAAGTTGGTGCGGCGTTTTGTGCTGGTTTTTGAGCCGGTGGAGGATATTGAGGTTGCCATCGAGGGTATGGAGGGGAGTTTGGCCGGGGCGGCAGGAGATGAAGCAGCGCATTGGACTTCCTGTGTCGGTGCGGGGTCGGTCGCGATGTCTAGAAGTGCGGCAAGGTCGCGATTGGTCGCGGTGGACATCAGTTGCTGGGCAAGGCTGGCGGTTTCTTTGGCTTTCCTTTCTTGCCAGGCGTGGAGTTGTTTGAGCTTTGTGGGAACACATTAGATATTTGCGTATTTTTGTAAAGGGAAGAAAAGGAGGAAAGGATGCATACCTTTTTTGTGAGTGCTCTCTTCTCCGTGAATTGGGTATCCCTCTCAGCGGTCCAGGCTTCTCGTGTTTTCTGAAGCTTTGTGCGAATTTTGCGGAGCTCTTGTTCGTGATCCAGTTTCAGTCGTAGAACCTAATGCAGTTAGTGTAGGTTGAGGGGAAGTGCTGCTCATGGAAGACGTACTTTTGAATTGTTCTGAGTTTCTAAATTATCGATCCTCTCCCTTGCTTCCTTTTCCGTCCCTTCAAGCTTTCTCTCCAGCTCCTGAGCTAAGTCTTTCTGATGCTTGAGATTCTCTTGCAGCCTCGCAACCTCCGCATCCATCACCCTCCTGATATCTTCCGCGTCTGACTTTGCAGCTTGGAGTTGCCGTTTGAGAGTTTCGATCTCGTTATCCTTACGATCGAGAGCCGTTTTCTGACACTCCATCTCGAGACTCAGCTCTGAAAGCTCACGGTCCATACCCCGGATCCGTTCATCCATTCTAATGACTTTCTCATCAGCCGCGTGATTCTCCTTTCTCTGCTCTTCGAGAGCCTCCCTTAGTCGATCAGATTGTTGCTCAAGTGACCTATTTTGTGTTTCAAGTTCTTCGATCGCTTCTTGACGTTGATTCAGGACCTCAATGTGTCCGAGGGCAAGCTCATCTGCCACTTCTTGGGCCGCTTTCCTCTCTGCTTTGTGCGATGCGGAGAGTTTTTCGAGTGCCTCTTGGGAATCGTGATGGACTTGGCGAAGCTCAGCTTCGTGCGAGGAGCGCAGACCCTCGAGAACCTCTTGGGATTCAATGCCTATCCTTACCATCTCGGCCTTATGCTGGGCATCCAGTTTCTCAAAAGCTTCCTGGGATTCTGATCTAACTCTGGACGCCTCATCTCGGGCTGTTTGCAGCTCTCTCTCGAGGTCTCCTATTCTAGAAAATAGCTCGCGAGCCTTCTCGTTCTCCCCATCAAGCTTATACTTGAACTCTTCCCTCTCGTGTTCGAGGGTCTCATTCAGAGAAGACCGTTCCTCAGTCTCTTCTTCCAGCCGGGCCTCCAGATCCTTGATCTCTTGCCGTAATTTCTCTGATCGCTCTTCCTCGTCCCGTAGAGGCTTTTCCACTCCATCGCACCTAATTTCCAGATCACGGCATATCATTCCAACCTCGGCGATGATCACATCGTTTTGCCGGCCGGCGTCTCTAAGCATCGCCTCTCTCAGATGCATTCGCCAGTCGCGGCTGTTGGTCTTAATGTCAGGAGTTGCAGAGGTCTCGAATATGGATACGATACTTGGAGAGTTGGGGTTTGATCGTATGGAGTAATGAGCGGAGCAAGTATTCTTAATTTTTGAAAGGTCAAGTTGCTTTTCTAACAATGAGGTGGCGAGTGATGGATCAAGAAAGATTGTGTCATCCTTTTGGGAGTAAATTCCAGCTCGTAAAACCAACGTACAAAGGGCTACAGCCAATTTGTTCTGCAACTGTAGGAGACCAGCGGGGCAGACTTCCCAATCCTGGCATGTATATGTTGGAGACTTGTCATGTGCCGATAAAAACTTTGCAATTGGATGTGAGAGCTTGTTCGTGACAAGGGATGACAAAATAGCTGTTCGGAGCTGCTGGGATTCAACCACCAAATCCGATAAAGAGGTAGTGAATTGTATTCGGTCTTGAAGCTCAAGATGGGAGGCGCTAGTCATTGGGGACGGCGAAGAGGATGCGAGAAGCATTGACCGAATTAAATCCGAGATGTAATCCTGGGAACTCATGGTCTGTCTTCGGATTAGCCAGTATTCTGTGTGAATGAAATGTGTGATCATACTCCGAGCACCCTCACCATGCTCGGTGGCAAAAATAAGGAGCTATGGCCTTGTGCCTCCTCTCGGATTGACTGATGGGAAAGGCTTTTGATGATCGGGGGCAGTGCTGGAATTGGCGACTTTTGAGGATATAGTGCTATCCCATAGTTTAGAGCCTAGAGATGTCAGAGAGTTACTATTGAAATCGGTTGTGGGTTGTATTTCGCCACACCTCTCTAAGTGCCCGCTTCTCCAACCCGGGACGTTGTATTTTCTCCACAAGTTTTTTTATATTGAGAGTATTGTTAACTAAGGATTCTTTGACTTTCTCCGTCATATTACTAGCGATGACGGTTGCCAATCTGATCTGCTCAATGCAATACTCCAAATCTCCAGAATCTCTCGAGGCAACATCAATCACGATATTCGTTACGAGGTTCATCACTTTAACAGCTTTCCTCCCACTGAAAAAGTCCTTTGTCCCACCTTTTTGGCGACTCTCTTCGCCTCTATTTGCCGCGCTTCCAGGGTCCACACCGTCCAGGACAGCACCAATGCAGGACATCGTAGTTAGGGCAAGGAGTAGCACTGCATTATCTGAGGTTGTGAGAAACCCCGACAGTCGATCTGTAAGTAGCGACTTCTGTGCCGGCGTGAGGAGCTCCGCTAGATATCCATATCCATTGGATACAAGATTATAGATATTCCGGATGGACTCCGCGCATGGATTCTTTGTAGCAACTTCAACACAGTGAAGAAAGACGGGAATGATGAGCGCCGGCACCGGGAATTCACATGGTAGGGGGGTTGATAGTAGCGCCAGGCACGCGGGGGAATACTAGAAGCACCCGGATAAGTCCGCTTGTGGCACGAATGGAGACCGACTAGGGTGTGTACCTTCTCCCAGTTATTCCCGTCTCGGTTTGCGTTGCGCAGCAGTGTCTCGAGTAAGGTCCTCTTCTCGTCAAGCATGGCATTTCGCACGGTTTGAACACGTCCTGTTATGAATCAGCAAGACCTAAAAACCCCGTCCAAGACAATACATGAAGTGTAGAAGGGTTCAAGCTACCGAGTTTCGCAAGAACCGGCAGGGCGTATGGGCAGAACTCTAATGCCCGGACAATCGAACTAGCAAGCGCTCCAACCTGGCACGGATTCGCATCCACCCAACATTGTAGATCATTCAAGGGACTAACTCGGACTATCGAATCAAGTTTCTGTGAGGCCAAGCAAGGCCCTCAATCAGTGGGTTGTAGAAGCGGAGCGCAAGCATGGGATCTGTGACGAACCTTTAGAGAAACTACATAGGGGGAGGATATGATTCTTAGGGTCTCAGAAGCTAGTTCTGCCATCAAGGTCAATTTTGCGGAGGAGCTTCAGAATCCTGCTATTGCGCGAGTCTGGGGTTTGCTGGAGATGATGTTATTATGTTGTTGGTCGAGAGCGGACTCTATCTTGCAGTCACCTTGCCCAGGTGTCGGCCGGAAAGCGTGCCAATGTTTTTTTCGCAGCTCCCGTTGCCTAGCCAACCAAAAGCCCCCACCTTTAATTAATGCGAACACGTGACTCGAGGGGAGCTAAAGTTGGTGGGGCAACTTTGTGAAGTGGTCTAATACTACGGAGGTGGAGCCCCTAAGTTTTCGATATTTGGCTAGCAGGGGGGGTTGAGCAAGCCGGGGGTAAAGTTGTCAAATGGGGTATAGTAGGTTGAGATCGGTCTTGGTACAACAAGATCTTGGAGATACCTGACCCAGAGCCTGTCAATGATTTTGAGATTCAAAACTAAGTACAATATATATCTAATATTGTGTAAAAAGCCCGTTTGCATCGATAACTGCCTGGCATCTTGCAGGCATACTTCCTACCAGTTCCCTAAATTCATGTTGTCCAACCTGATCCCAAGCTTGCTTTACTGCCTCCTGTAGTCTATCATAACTCATAATCTCTGGAAAATTATTTTGAAGATAATTTTTCATTATGTGCTATACCCGTTCAATTGGGTTTAAATCTGGAGAGAATGGAGGCCAGTAAATAACGTGAATTCCACGTTCATGAAGATCAGTGGCTATATCTGCTGCCGAATGGCCGGGTGCTCCATCTTGCATGAGTTTTAATGAAATACCATCGTGACGACACAATTCCATGTATCCATGAATTACAGGAACAGTGTGTGCAAGATAGCTTTCCGAATTTATCGTCCCCCAGTCCTTCTCCCAAAAGATCCCAGGTCCCAGTGTATCCCCATGGAAACAGCCCCAAAACATCCACCCCTTCTTTCTAAGATGTTTCTCCACAATACATGTTGGGTTCCACTCCTCATCAACACATCTTGTAACCCTCGTTTGCGTATGTCTTCCACCTGTTATCCAGGTTTTATCCGTCTACAAAATCTCATACCACTGTTCCATCATCCAAGTTACATGGTCCAAAGCCCACTGTAACCTTATCGCCCAATTCCATTCCATAATAGGAGGCTTTCTCATCGCTAGGCGTTGATGAAATCCCTCCTTAATCAATGCTGTGCAAATAGCCTTTTGGCCAACTCCAAATTCCAACTCGGTAGCAAGTTGTTGAAAGAACAGATGACGATTACGGGAAGACATGCACACATACTCGATAAGCTCCTTGATTTAAGCTTGGGTGAGAATAGGAGGACGACCTAGTCTTTTTGAAGGGGTAGCTGGAGAGGTGCAAGCGTACTGAACTTGGTGCTAGGAATATCCTGTCTTTTCCTGAATTTAAGTGTATTTCCAACCAATTGAACGTAAAAGCTGGCAGTCCTGTCTCTGGTCACGGGTGAGATAGAAGGATTTCGTATTTTGGGCATTCAGAATTGACATTTTCGTGAATGAAAATGGATGGAAAAAATTTGCATAGTCTTCACCTTTATTCCTGTATTCTCAATGCCACAATATCTTGTTTAGGCTACCTATCCCTGCTGACTTGATATCCCCTGCTAGCTAAATATCGAAAACTTAGGGGCTCTACCTCCGTAGGCATCTGTAATTACGAGTACTCGCAATGTGACGTTTGTGAACATGACTGGGCTTGCATTAGTATATCTAGGCATGCATTAGCGCAATCTAGATTAGTCAAAGTAGCAAGTATTTCATACTGTAAATAAACACAGAGGAGATTGAGCATGAAACATATTATTTATTTGAGAATTGCAAGATACTGGAGGTGTAAGTAATCTTACAAAAAAAAAGATAAGTATATAGAAGGTTTACTTGGAAGGAAAACAAGTGAAAACAAGTGAAAATAAACTAGAAATTGAAGTTGTTTCCTCCTTCATCCACAATACAGGTTTCAATCTGTTCAGACATGGAATTTATATGATGATTTAT